GAGTAAATCCTGATCAGGCGAAGCGTTACAGGAATTTGCCAACAGGTCTTTGTATTGGCAGCTGCGCATCCATTCATAATGGCATTCACATACTGTTTGTGTTATTCGTACACAGTGAGATTCAGATGCCAGTTTTTCAAATCGTATCAACAGGAGGAATGCAGAGAAATCAGCCTGTTCAAAGATGTCACCACGCAAAAGCTGACTGACAATAATATCTCTTAACACTTTGCTGTTGTACCTTTGGAGCACTGAGGATTTATAGCAGCAGGGAACAAAGGCTGACATTTGACACTAAATACCAATTGGCTGAGTTTTTTTTTCAGCTCCCTTCTACCTTAGAAAACAAATCCAGCCTTCACATAGACTCTATTAATGGAGCATGAAACACTTGCAGAACTGAAGGCCCAGCATAAAGCAAGGTGTTTTAGTTAGGTGGTAACTGGGCGCATTTGGAAGATAACTAATATACCTTGTAGGAATATGGCACTGTAGCACTTTCATCAATGGAAAGCATGTCATAGCTGAAAGATCATTCCAATGCAACAACTCTGTTAAATTCAGCAGAGCAGAGAATGAGTGGGATGCTGAAGTGGAAGGGAAAGCCCTGTTCTTTTGAAAGTGAGAGGGCTTGAAAGGGAGTAAAGACAAGATACAATGTGATGTGTGCAGAAGTACAAGATCCTACAAATGAAAGCAGGCAAGGACTGGATTTATTGAAGGATGCAGCTCTGACTTTTGTGTGTGTTTTGGGCTAAGGGTGAGGGAAAGAAGAGGTTCTACTTTGTAATACTTGGAAAAGGGTTTCACCCAGCTCTCCCAAGCAGGGCTTTCTCAGCTGCAGCAGCAGCATGAAGCAGCTGAGCAGAGTATCATGTCCATCTCAGGGGCAGAGGAGGAAATGTGAATGGTGGATCAGGAGGGTAGGGGGCTCAAGGATGCATCCTCTGTGAAGGAAAAGGCTCGGCAAAGAAACAGGCAATAGAAGACAGGAGATGCAGATGCATTTTAAAGTGAACCAGGAAAACCACATGCCCAGAATAACTAGCCTTTCTGTCTGGGGATCTTGGGACCAAAGCAGTAGAGGTGAGGCTGAATCTCACCACTCAATTCTCACTAAAGTGGAGTACAGCAGAGAGGAATCATGCCTGAATGTCAAGTTTTTGCTTCTATTTAAAGACATGGATTGTTGATCACCACATCTCTACATCTTCTCAATGATTGCAAAATGTCATTGAGCTACTTAAGACTATTTGCTTGCAAGCAAGATTCATGTTTGGCAGTTTATTCTTACTTTCTGTCTTTTCCTCACCAGAAACTTATCCTCAGCAGAAATGAGCACTAATGTGCTTCTCTTCAGGGCTCACTGATGGAAAGAAAGGACAGAGATTGATAACATTGCCTAGAAATAGATTTGACTATTGAGTAAAAGACCTGGCTTTGATCTTGTCTTGGTGTATCTCTAATTTCCACCTGTTCGAGAGCACAACAAGGCCAAGCATTTCCAATTCCCCATGATGATTCTGTAGCAACCTAACAAGCTCTGCCTCATCTCTGCCTCGATCCAGCTGTCTCCTCACAAGTGGCAGGCAGGGCACAATGATGGAGCTGCTACCACGGCATTATACAAACCATGGACTGTCGTACATTCAGTGAAGAGCCTGGAGGCTTAATCCTGAAATATATTCAGAAAAAGCAGAGGAAAAGCTTAGGAATATTGCACAGATTCACAAATAAAAGATATCCCAAAATATTGTCTCACTGCACAAGAGTAAAACCCCTTTATTAAAGAAACCATCCCTCCCTATGAGGGATTGCATTACTGACGAAATTAACAAACAATTGTATCAGTTTTATTTTGACTTACATGATTGCAAGCAGTTTGGAAAGTGAAAGGATAACAGTCATTCCTACTTTCTCTTGTTCTTTTCCACTTTCTGGTTTCCCAAGCAACACTGAGCCTCTGGTTTGTCTCTCTTCTCAGCTAAAGGTGAGCAAAGAGGCAGAATTGAATTTGGAATACAGTTTTGCACATTTCACTCCCTCTCTTTTTCCTCTTTTTAAGAGTCCAGTTAGCTATGTTTTGAATTAGTCTCCAGAGACTGTTCTGGTTGGTTTTAATAGAGGTGACTGGACAGGTTTGGGTTTGTTTTATTGTTGGTAAATAGCTTCCTAACCAAAATGAAAACATTTATCCTGCTCAAAATATTTTTTTTGTCAGATGCTGACCAAAATGCCTTGCTCAATTTCTTTTCCCATTTTGTCCAAAGAAAACAGCCCTATTGCTATTTCTAATGTCATTTTCTATGACAACTGTAGCATATCAGATATGAATGAAACCAGTATTTCTTATACACTTACAAGTTTCTGGCAATTTTGTGTTCATTAGACATCATTATATTAATATCCTTTTTGTCAGTACATATTTCTCAACAGCAACACGCTATGAGAGAGAGAAGGTTTTTCCTTGTCTCAAGCACTGAAAATGTACCGACATTTCCATGTTTATTTTTTATTAATCAGTGTCTGTTTAGGATCGCTATCAAAAAAATGTTGTATGGACAGCCAGCTAGAATTTATGATAATTATATTGTTACCTATGGCCAGGATGTACTAAACTGTGTCAAACTGCCTTCTTTCCTGCCTGCCTTCCTGCCTCCTTTCCCTTTCCCTTTCCCTTTCCCTCTCCTCTCCTCTCCTCCCTTCCCTTTCCCTTTCCCTTTCCCTTTCCCTTTCCCTTTCCCTTTCCCTTTCCCTTTCCCTTTCCCTTTCCCTTTCCCTTTCCCTTTCCCCTTCCCCTCCCTTCCCTTCCCTCCCTCACAATTTTTTCAAGGATTCCTTCAATCAGTAGTCGAGGTGAAGTTCTGGAGTGTGGAATTTGGCATGGTCTGTTTTCAAACTCTGAAGCTCTTTGAATCTCTAATTGCTATGGTGAGAATCATAACCTACAGATTTTTCTTTAGCCACCCTTTGCTAGGTGACCAGTAGCAGCCTTCCAACGTATCACTGCTTCTGGCAATGTTAGTGGATGAGCTGGGTTGTACTTCCTTCCCCAGCTCCCATCTGCCATGGTTGACACGTCCCTGCAAGATGTGCTGTGCTGACATGCCTTGAGCCAGTCTAGAGGCTAACTGCTGTCTTGCAAGGCTGTCAATGTCTCCTTGCTACCCTGAGTCTCCCAAGTTTCAGGCTGTGAAAGCCATTCTTTAGTTACTGCTCAACCCTAAAAGTGCCCAAAGAAGCCAAATCCCTCTATGCTCCTAAAAGTCTGGAAAGCAGCTGGCTATGGACTTATACAAAACTCTTCCGAGGGTTATGTGGGAGTCCTTGGCGTTTCTCAATGGGTCTGACAGGTGTGTCTGGAGATGCTGAACATAACCCAGTGGCACCAGCCCAGGCTGACTTTGCCTTTCATGCAACAGCCAGGTACTAGTGACTGGGTTCTGAAACTGGGGACTGCCCCAGAGATCCTCACTGAGAGAAGCCGAATATGTCTCCCATGTTTCAGCCTACCTGCTTACCACAAAGAGGTACTGCTGGAGTCATTGTGTTGGCATGAAGCAACCACTCTCTCCCTGCTGGTTTAGGACGGCTGAGGGCCACACATGGGGCACTCTTGTCCTGCAGGGCCATTGTGGGTTCGCGCTGGGAAGCCTGTACTGGGCATTGCTGCAGGTGTGCAGGGCTCATGCTTCTGCTTTTTGGCTTGTGGGCGGCCTCTATGCACATTCTGTCATGCACTTGGCACTTCAGCAGCAACCCCAACAGGGCTGGGATGCCCCAGCAACTGTCCTCAACCTACCCATGAGTATAAACCCAGTGTGTTTTCTTCAAAGACCCAAGCCACTCCAGTTGGCACATGCTGACACAGAGCTGCTGCTTCGGTAATGGTGCTCCTGGCTGGAACATGCTTTAGTTTAGGTTTCACAGAATCAGAGAATGGTTTGAGTTAGAAGGGACTTTAAAGATCGTCCAGTTGTAACCCTCCTGCCATGGGCAGGGACACCTTCCAGAAGATCAGATTGCTCAAAGCTCTGTCCAACCTGACCTGGAACACTTCCAGGGATGGGACATGTGTGTATGAGTCACTCCACTTCGTGGAAGAAGAAAAAAAAATAAATAATTAAGAGTTTTGCATCGAGATTTATGAAGGTGTCAAAGAGAACAGGACACATCCACCTCCACATTCAGGGGCCTCGACAGCATTTGCTAAATTAACCAGAAAACACCTTTAAAAGCTGTACTTTACCCAGATGGGCAGGGTGACCCCTGACCCCGGTTCCTGACTTGGACCTGGGGTTATTATGAGGGATCCAACAGGCGTAAAGCGCTGTCGCACCCCGGAACAGAGGCTTGGAGTAAGGAGGCAGGGAGGGGAGACTGACGAAGGGGCCTGGGTCGCTACCCCGGCGCGGGCGGTGTCCGGCAGGGAGCGCTGGAGAGCGGAGTTGCCGGGGCTGGCAGCTGCGGAGGGGAAGCGCGGTGCCGGGAGGGAGAGTGGGTGCTGGGGCGCTGCCCGCAGCGGCGAGCCCGGAGTGGGACATCCCCCCTTCCCTTCTCTCCTCCCGGCCGGTGCCCGCGAATCAAGCGGGAGAAGCAGGGGGAAGGCGGGCGGGGGCCGCACAGCCAGAGGGGAGCGGAGCGCGTCCCCGCAGCAGCCTGCTCTCCGGCCGCCGTTCCCTCGCTCCCTGCGTCCGTCCCTCCCTTCCCCGGCGGCGGGGGACGGGATACCCCGCGGTCGGGGAGGGGTGGAAATTTACCGGGGCTGCCCGCAGCGCGTCGGAGAGCGATTGAGCGAGAGAGAGGGCTCTGCGGGAGGCGGAGGCAAGGGAGGGAGGGCGGGGAGCGGCGGAGCATCGTCTGGCGCGGAAAGCGAGGGACCAAATGATTGTGAGGAAGGGCGGCAGCCGCCACCGCCGACAGAGGACCCAGCCGCGGCGCAGCAGCGGCAGCATCCCCGGCAGGAGTCCCGAGGCCCGCGGGGGCGCGGCTGGCCCCTAGCCGGCTGGGCGGCGATGGCGGCGGGCGGCAAGCGGCGGGAGGGCCGCCGGGCTTAGGGCGCGGGCGGCGGAGGGGCTGAGCCGGGCCGGGTTCCCCCAGCCCCGCATGGCGCGGGCCTGATGCCGGAGCGCGGCCCGGCGCCGCGGCGGCGCTGCGGGAGGAGGATGGCGGGGCTGGCGTGGAAGTGGCCACGCACCCGCCTGCCCGTGGGGGCCAGCGCCCTGGGCGTCTTCGTGCTTTGCTGGCTCTACATCTTTCCCGTCTATCGGCTGCCCGACGAGAAGGAGATCGTGCAGGGGGTGCTGCTGCAGCAGGGCAAGGCGTGGAGGAGGAATCACACTGCGGTCGCCCTGTTCAGGTAGCGCTGTGCGCGGCCCAAGGGCAGCCGGGGACGGAGGAGCGGGCGGGCGGGCGGGCGGCGAGAGCCCTCCCCACCCCGCCGAGCCCCAAACTTTGTATTTTCCCACCCAAGTCTTTGTTGTTTTCCCATCAGGAGAGGGGCAGTCAGGGCCCCTCTTGCCCAGCAAAACTTTTTGGGTGGCTCTGCTTGCGGCGGGGACAAGGGTCTCAGCTCCAGGGATGGATGCTTGTGTCTCCTCACAGGGAAATAAACCCACCTTGGATGCCTTTGCCAGGAGGGATGAGGTTTCGGAGGCTTGCAGGGTTGCCTGCACAATAGCTTTCTGGAGAAAGGCTGCACCGGCAGCCCCTCTGGCCACTACCGGAGCGGGGTCTCGGAGCCTGCTTCGTTTGCGGGCCGTGACTGACGGGGGGAGCTCCTGCAGCTCCCGGGGACCCGCGGGGGAAGTTTTGCGTGGATATGCATCCCTGCCGACATCCTCGCGCCGCGGAACACTTTGGAAGCTCCGCGCTGGTCCTTGACTCTGCGGTTTATTATAGAAACCACGTGAAAAGGCTCTTCTGGGGTTTTTTTTCCTCCTCTTTTCTTTTGGTGTGGCTGCGAAATGGCGATAATCCTGGGAGCCCTTTTCACCTTCCCCAGCCGCACGGGAGAGAAGGAACGTCGCAGTCAGGGTGCCACAGCTGGTAGCGGTGGAGACCTGGGTCCCTGCAGCGGGGAGGGTTGTTTGAATGACCGTGGCTGAAGAGCGTGTGCTGTGGAAGGAGGTTTGCATCCCCTCGAAGGTTTCTCAGTGTGCCTGGGTAAAATGCACACGACTGGAAGAGAAGTCGATTTCCCTCACTTTCGCGGAGGGAAGCTGGGCTTTCTCTCGGTCCTCTAAGTAGCAAATGAAAGATCAGAGTGACTTGTAACCAAATTGCCTGCAAAAACGCCTCTTTCTTTAATAAATGCCAAAACGAATAATTCTCCAAGGGACTTAGTTTGGTTTTTTTTCTTATTTTTTTCTTATTTTATTCTTTTTTTTTTTTTTAGGTGATGTACAGCTTTATTTGATTTTCTTCAATATTTTTTGTATGCAACTCAACTTGCTTTTGTCGTGAACTGGTGCCAGACCGTGGTTGTTTAATATCTCATCTGCAGGGATAACAGAAACTTCACGTTTCTTCAAAAGCACATTCCTTCTTTAGCTCTGAAGCTTGCAGGAAATATAAGCAATGAGAGGTGATAAGCAGGCATGTGTTAATAATGTCTCATTAGATAGGCCTGGTGGAAGTTCCCTCTTTAATACAGAGCTAGCAATAAAGTACAGATGCATGGTCCTTTTCCTGAAGCAATAACACTAGAAACTAGGTTGATCTTCTCAGTTACTAATTCATGTTAATCCCATTGTGCCACAGATTCCTTTTTTGGGGGTAGATAGATCTAGGTTTTTAAAAAACTAACTGTGATAGGTGATGTAGGAGAGAGTTTGATGTAGTATTTTTAATGTTTGTATACCAAATGATGTTTGAATATTGACAATGCTGCTGTGGCTTCAGTTTAAAAAACAGTTTTTAGACCATTTCCAACACATGGTTGGTAACAAAAACTCTGCATGGCTTGTCAGCTATTCCACTTGCCCATATGTTTTTCCACTCCCTAAGCAGAGTGATTAGCTCAGAGATGCTGCTGAAGAGAGTCTCTTGCAACAAAAGGAGCTATTGTTTCTTGTATGTGTCTCTTGATGAGTTGGTGCAGCGCTAAATACAATGAGCTTTAAATCAATCTGCTTAAAAAAAATAAAGCTATGAAGAGGAAATGTACATGGGAGAGATGTAGTGAGTATGCCATAGTTTTCAAATAACTGTGACATAGAACTTTTGCTTCTCTTTGTATTGGTAGGAGGTTATGAAATTGAAGTTCAGGTTGGTGGCTCTACATTGTTGGGTGATTAACAGAAACAGTCTCCTGCTCTTTGCTGTGGTCCTGCTGTCTCTGTGCAAGAGCACTGTAAAACCTCCAAGTTTCAGTTTCTACTGGAAGCTGCCTATGAATGTGAGTCTGTTTTATCTGGGAAGGAGGTATAGAGCTTCAGAGAAATCCTGTGTGCGGACTTCACAGTAATATGGCTTTCCATAAAAGCCTAATATTAAATGGGATCTAATGTATTATGAATATATTATTATTTTAGATTGGCATTAATTGCCATTCCTGCTTGCTCTTTTGCCACATTCTGGTTGCCAAGCAATTTTGGTTTTCCCCAGTTTTGAAGAATAAATTTCAATTTGTCTTGTGTTAAAAATCTATATGAGAAAGTGCAAACTTTCACATTACTGCTTTGTGTAATATGATGGCATTTGTAGTACTGTACAGGGGTTTGAATAGCCAGGTTTTTGCTAGGCACAGAAAGCATTTGACAGTCATGTCAAATGATTTTGACATGTTTTTCACCTCCTATAAATTTGCTGGACTCCTATTGATGAAGTAGATTATTGTCCCCAAGTAATTAACTTGATCAAAACACACTTTTCAGATCTCAGGAGTGCCATTCCCCATTTGCCTTCTGTACTGGGATCAAAGACGACTTCACGAAGTAACTTGGTGAGGCCAGTAAACATGTCTGAAGGTAATTTGGGTTCAGCTGAGAGCCAGGAACTCCTCCATCTCCACTGCTTTTTCCTTCTCTTCTGCAGCCAGAAACCTTGTGTAAAGATCTGACCCATGTAAACTCTTGCTTATGCAAGAACCCCGACTGTCCTGGTGCTTGTGCACCCTCACATGAGGGTTTTGTCTTTGGATATGGATTTGTAGGATTGGTTTTCAAAAATAAATACCTCTGTAAATAGTCACAGATTGCTGCCTTTGAGACCTGTTTTGCCTTACTGCAGCTGTGGGAGTAACAAAATGACCAGGATTAAGCCTTTGACTCCAGTGTGAGCCTGTGTTAAAAGTGTGCTCACAGCCTTGACTCTGCCTATGCAGCTTCCATGAGTAACCGTGGCATGATGTGTACGCAGAGTCCCACTGCCAGTGGAGCAGTGACTGTTTGTGCAAGAGCTGTCTTGGTTCTTAGATGGAAGGGTAGAACCTGGAAAACCTGACAATACAACTGACGTTATCAAAAGAGCTCTTGCTCCAAGTCGTTTCTTTAGTTGAGCATAGCTACCTTTAAAGTCCTCAAATTCTGGGCATTTGGAGATGAGCACAGTTTACCAGCAAGCTATTTCTATTAGTGTCCTTCAAATTTCACGTCGTTAGTGGCTGAGGGTAGTCAAACTCTGTGCTCTCCTGTCTGACAAAGCTAGTCCGTCAGTCAGATGGTAAACTGGTGGATCTTGAGCTACAAAGTGGTTGGAATAGAAATGAGATCGTCATTAGAATCACTAATGGCTAACGTGTCTAATTTACCTATGATACAATGGCTTGTCATTCTCTGAGGTGGTTAATGTTATTGCACCCTAATTGTTTTACAGATTGCTTTTTTTTTTTTTTAAAGGGTGTAGAGCTGCTTAAATTATTTAGGCAAAAATGTTGTTGTTGTTTGTTGTTAGTGAAGTAGTAGGGCAGAGGTGGATCTTTTCATCTGCCTTAAAAACTCCACACAACTGCAAATCCCAAATGCCATACGTTTATCCGACACTTCTGCTTCATTTATTGCCCCAGGTAGACCTCCTTTAGGGAGTGAGTATGCTTGTGTGGGGCAGTGGGCTTTTGACTCTCAGGACTCCCACTGAAAGGGTTTGAAGGTGACTAGTGACTTGGCTTAGAGGTTCTTCAGGAATAGATGGGACAATCTTGTCAGCAAGGCAACAGAAAGGCTATCTTTGAAATTCAGGCTGTGTTTGTGCTTCTGCTGCAGCATTTTTGTGTGATACTGAAAGGCCAGCCAGGGCTTCTTCTGGGAGTGGCTTGATTGAAATGATGGCAGGTATCTCCTGTCAACACACTGTTTGTGACCTGCCTCCAGTCCGGAACATCTGCTACAACTGAGCTCTGCTTCCCATCTGCTGTCTCCTCTGTCCCTAGTGTCGAACCAGCCATACTTACCTTGGCAGGTGGCTTCTCCACTTTCTTTGTCAGGTTTGATTTCTTGTCCATTTTCCAGGGACAGAGAGGAGAAGCTACTTGCCTGAAATTGCTCAATAGTGTCAGTGACTGAACTGGACAGAGTATCTAGATGTGCTGGACTGTGGTGCTTGCAGTGTGGATGTGGACACACTGCATGAAGCCTCTTCTACTGCCAGCTTTCATGTGCCTTTCAAGAATAAGGTTCTGTCATTGCTATGTGCCATGCTGGAGGGGGTCTTCCTACTGTAACTGTCTCTGCCAGCTGCTCTCTGCCAGCTGTTAATGTCTGTAGCTAGAGTGCAATCACAACAGGCGCCAAAGAACACCCCCCTGTGCAAATAATTCTTCTTTCTACATTGTATTAACGCAGAACTAGAATTCCAAGTCACTTCCCTGTCTGTTAAGACAAATGCTCTTGCCAACTCAGCAAGACTTTCTTCAGTTCAAATGGCTTTTATTTCTTTCTCTTTTGATGTGAGCATTGCAAATTAGAATCCCTACTGCAGTATTTCAAGGCAAATCTGAGATGAAACTTCACATTACTCAGGTTGGCTAGATAAGAGTTTTGCCCTGCTTGGACAATTTTATCAGATACTCAAGTATCCCTGCTTCTTTTACTGAGACGTGAAGTGTGGAGTCAGGATTAGAGCTGGGATATGCTATATTAGATTAGTTCTACCTCTGTGGCCCATGAAGCCCTATCCTGAAACCACTGGGTATGCTCAGATGTTGTTCGCTGGCAGTGGCCAAATCCAGCTCATTTGCCCTCCTGAGTAGATGTCACTACTGCCTGGCTGTGCATTTAACTCGATTGTTAATGTTTTGAATGAATTTTCTTTGGTTGGTTTTGCTGCATTAGGGACAACTTGGTATTTGTAATTTGTAGTTTCTTGGCATTTCCAGTTGAGATGGGAAGCCGTTTTGGTGAAGAGGTACAATTGAAAAGC